AAAGAGGATCATGAAAAACCTATAAAAAAATGGTTCATGAAATTTTAGTTCACTCATAAAGCTAAAGTCCGCCTGCTCTAGCAAAAAATGCCCACTGTGTTTCGTGGGCCCAACCATATGTAAGATAAGCCGTTGTCTGACGTTTTCAAGAAACTGAGAGGATGTTTGACGTCGTTATGGTGTAGTAGACAAAGTAGTTACACAGTGAAACTTAGAAGGCTCCATTTTCTGTGGATATGTAAATAGGATTTTCATATGTCAACATACATAACATAATCGTATATAAACCAGACGCCTAAACGGGTTAGATCGAGTCGGATTTGGCTCAAATAAGAAAAAATATTGAGTTTTTTCAATCGCTGCCAATTTTTAACGTTAAAAAGTTTTGAGTTTGATCTTCTGATCCTAGATTTTCGCAAGATTCTGCGTTTCCCGTCAGCATACAGTAGACGAAAAGATTTTTTCTAAAACCAAAATAGTTTTTGGAATCTGCGTCCATATAAAACAGTATTTTGCTATTAGAAAAAGCCTTTGGTAAGCCAATCAGAGTTCAGGAGAACCATAAAAGTTTTTCTCAAAATTCGAAAAGTCATTATCTAGAGACAAAATTTTCACAATCCTAGTTGATTTCGGAACTCTCTTATTTCATCAACCGAATCCTAGTGTATCTGTCCTACGCTAATATGTCTTTCTCTGGCTCTCGCTGAAGTTTTCATATCATCGATAAGTACGATCAATCTGCTTACTTCAATTTTGTTAATTGTTCTTCAGCAATTTTAATCAAATCTGAGTAAAATGGTGCTCGTTTTTCATCTACAACTAGTTGCCCAGTCGGATTTGGACTTAGACCTTCTCGTATCATTCGAATAAGCAACAAACGTTCCATTAATTTTCCGTATGGTAATGTCACTATTTTTTCTACTCCATCGTGTGGTGCTGTTAGTCTCTCTTGAATTATTTCATCAACCGAATCACACTGTAAATCTTCGTAATACCAAAGTAATGTGTCTAACTTTTCTTCTTTTAAAGCAATTTTAGCTTTTGATTCTTCACTTAAAACGTTTTTGAATTGTTTTAAATGAGAATAGGGGATAGAAAACTCTTTTAAAAGAGTATTAACATTTTCAGTTGTCACATTTCGACAGTGAGCTACCATCGTGTCAGATGGAGCTGGATTTCCAAAACAAAATGGCAGAAACCATGGTAAACCCGGAAAATCCTAAAATATAAAAAAATTCAGTAAATGGAGATCAATGCTCGATTTAGTAGATCATTAAAATGACACTTTTTTGAGATCGAGTTTATTATCGGTGTTCTGGTGGAAACATTTCTGAACCTAAGAATTCTTTAAAGTTAAACTGTAAACAGTCTTGAATACTAGGTCGAAATTTTAAATCACAACAAAGTTTGAGTTTTCTGATATATTCGAATTGTTCAAAGACAACATGTTTGCTATTTTGTAATAAAAAAGAAATTGAATCTTATAATTTGTACTGACACAAATGTTTAAATGAATAAATACCTTTTAAACAGTTACTATTTCAGATGTTGTAAAACCATATTTGAGTTCATTTCTAGACTAGATGAACTAATTACTTCTTGTTTTACGCAAAACAATATACGCGAGCAAACAAACTTTTTCAATTAGATGTAAGATGATATGAGTATAGAACTATTTCTAAAGTAATATCTTACTACAAGAAGCTTCTTTTTTTTGTGATGAAAACAGCTTTACAAACGAACCTTAGTTGGATTGAAATGGACAATATCCGCAAGTTTTTTCCACGGTTCAGTTGGCATATGTAAAGCAAAATATTCTAGTTCTGTTGCAGACAATGTACGAGTCCATCGGCGAACATGACGAGCAACAGCACCACTTGCACTTCCAGACAAAGGTTTTATCTTACTAAGATTATCAATATTATTTTTTATTTTGCCTAATTTAACAGCTTTTGGCTTTGTTTTTGATAATTCAAGCCGTTTCAATTGTTTTTCATGTACTCGAATTTGTCGTGCTGCATCTAACATATTTACTGCTTTCAATACCTAAACTCCACAAAAAATTATTTAGTTAGATTAGATTAGAAAAAAAGACGCTATCGTATGCATACTTCTGTTAGTGTAAACAATTTACAATGTTTTAGTAAATTATTTGCTAAACTGTGATCGTGTCTACACCAGGCTGCTGCTAATGTGCACGCTTTTGATTTTTGTAGAATTTCAACGCTGTTGTTATCAAGAGTAAATAGAGCGGCCAAATATCGATTTAAATTTTTATTTTGAGCATCAATATGTTG